CTGAGGGACAGCGCCCAGGCCCAGAGTTCAGGCCCCATGACCGGACCTAAAAAAAAAAAAAAATCAATTGCATTTCTTTTTTTTTTTTTTTCCAGAGAAGGTCTTATGTAACTCAAGCTGGCTTTGATTTCATGATCTTTCTACCTCAACTTCCTGAGTTCTGGGATTATAAACATGTACCACCATGCTTGTCTTTCAGTTTTATTTTCCTATATGAGTAATCCAAAATTGAAAAATAATGCTCATTTTCCATATTATCAAAAAGATCAAACACTCAAAATAAGGCTCCCAGAAAGAATGAATGACCTGTTATATTACAGTGGCCACACAAATGATAACAAGCTTGATGACTTAAAATAGAAATTACTTGTCTCCCATTGTGGAGTTCAAAGTGTGACATCAGGGTGTTGATAAGAGCTACAGTTCTTTCAAAAGCACTATGAACCAGGCACCAGTGGCTCAGACTTGTAATCCTAGCTACACAAAGGGGTTGAGACCCAAGGAAGATAGTTTTCAGCCAGCCAGCCAGCCAGGAAAGTCCATGAGACTCTTATCTCCAATTAGCCACCACAAAAGCCAGAAGTGGAGCTGTGGCTGAAGTGGTAGAGTGCTAGTCTTGAGCAAAAAGCTCATGGACAGCACTCAGGCCCTGAGTTTAAGCCCTGAGATTGACACATGCATGTGCATACACACACACACACACACACACACACACACATACACACACACAAGGGAACAATCTGTTCCATGCTCATTCACCCTCTGTTGGCACCAGATATTCCGTTGTGTTTTCTTGGCTTATAATCAAAGCATTACATCATTCCAGCTTCTGCCTCCATCTTCCCATCATCTCACATCTCTCTTCTTTCTCCTCTGTGTGTCTCATCTAAGAATATTTGGATAGGGCTGGGAAGGTGACTCAGTGGTAGAGTGCTTGCCTTGCATGCATGAGGCCCTGGGTTCGATTCCTCAGCACCACATAAGCAGGAAAAAAAAGCCGGAAGTGGCACTGTGGCTCAAGTGGTAGAGTGTTAGCCTTGAGCTAAAGGGCTGAGGGACAGCGCCCAGGCCCACAATCGGACCAAAAAAAAGAATATTTGGATAATTTTGGGCAATCATTTCATTTTTAGACCCAAAATGATGTCTGAAAAGATCTTTCCAAATAAGTAAACATTAAAACCTTAGGGACTGGAAATGGACTTTTAAAAAATTAATTTTTTTGCCAGTACCAGGGCTTGAACTCAGGATATGGGCACTATTCATGAGCTTTTTTTGCTCCAGGCTGCCATTGTAGTACTTGAGCCACTTTTCTGTTGGTTAATTAGCTTTAAGAGCCTCATGGACTTCTCTGCTTCAGCTGGCTTCTAACCTCAATCCTCCAATCTCAGCCTCCTGAGTAGGTAAGATTACAGTCAAGAGGACCTGGCTTAGACATGTCTTTCAGTGAGGGGGATGATTCAACTCATAATACCTGTACACTGAAAACTAAAAGATTTTGCTGAGGGGAATTAAGCAGACCTCTACTAAATGGAAAGGTATGCCTATGAGTCAAAGGACTCAAGATTGTAAAAATAATACTCCCATTCATTGATTTATATTTCAATGCAATGCTAATCAAAATCCAAACAGGCTTTTCTTATAGAAATTGACAAAAGTATTGTAAAATTTGTGAGGAAGGCAGAGGACTTAGAATAGTGCAGACAGTTTTGAAGAATAAAGTGGAAGCCTTAACACTACCTGATTTGAAAAAACATTATAAAAACCATTATAATCCATGTACTGTTATTACTACAAATAAACCAGTTAATGGAACAAAATAAAGAATCTAGAAATACAAGGTGCTGGTGGCTCTTGCCTGTAATCAGCTGCTTGGGAGGTTGAGATCTAATGATCAAGGTTCAAAGCTAGCCCAGGTAGACAAATCCAAGAGCCTCATCTCCAACTAGCAAACAAAAGGCCAGAAGTGGAGGTGTGACTCAAGTTGTATAGCAGTAGCCTTGAGTAAAAAAATCTTAAGTGAGAGCATGAGACCCT